GAAAGCAGCAGGCGCGTAACGTGGAGGTAGTGACGAAAAATAACGATACGAGAATCATCCTCCGTAATCGGAATGAATACACTACATATCTCTTAATGAGAATAAAGTGTATTAATATATAAGTTTTAATAGTAATTAGAATATATATATATTTAAAGGGACTTAAGTACGTAAACGTATCATGCATGAGATATAGCCGTGTTTATGTGGGCGGGCATGGCGGAGGGAACATTATACACGAGGCATATACGGCGGCAGAGGCGTCGGCTGTAGGAATATATAAATGAATATTAACATATACGTATATACGTACAAATATTTATATATATTAATATTAGCGGTGGCGGTAGGAATATATAATCTTCGCATAATATCGCGGCACTTTCGCTGGCATCGACGACGCGTTGTCCGTCGTGTTCCTCGGACGTCAACAGGTTAGCAGCGTTGATAGCGAGTGCAGATCGAATCGTAGACGTTGTCACTTTGACAACGGGAAGAAGACTACGGTATCATTTGCGGCGGAATGTCGTCGGGCGTGCGGCGCTTGCTGGACTTTGCACAGCGGCGTATAACGCGAGGTGTTGGTCAGTCAAATACTCATAATAGGGCGACGGCTGATAAAGGTGGCACGAGTCGTGGGGCATTGTGTATAATGAAACGACGCAGGCCGTGTCAATTACAATAAAAATTTGTTATATATATACATAATTGATGACACGCGCGCGTCTTTGGGTTAGAAAATATTGTTGTCTACGAGTGGTGAGCGGGGTGGGGCGAATGCGTTACAACAGTATAGTCTCAAGGTCATACATGACGGGATACGGGACATAATAACACGTGCCGCGTGGAGTTACAAACTTACAAACAACAAACAACAACATACACGTGAAACTAATATAAGCGTGTTAAAAATAGAACAATTTATAAGTTATGAGTATCATAATAGTATAGAAGATAGTATCATTATAACAAAGTATCATGTACTAAATAGAAAAAGTATTTGAAAATTATTCACGGAGTTATATTAAGTGATATTTGTAAGCGTGACAATCACTATAAGTTATATACATAAAATTTTTCGTAAAATTGAAATATTCACTTTTACACTTTTTTAGGTCATAGGTAAACTATAACTACAACTACAAATCTAATCAACAAAATACATCATTGAAATTCTATAACGGATAAACTATTTATCAGACCAATGAAATTGTAAGAACAAAATTGTTCGAAGCTGAACAAGTTCAAAATAGGGGTTCCCATTTGAGAAATTAAAATTAAAGGTTTTTTGACCATGAAGGGATGAAATAAAAATATATTTAACCAGATATTATTGTAAAGTTTTTTCAACGAAATTATTTTTACCTTTACAAAGTTAAAAATTTTCTATAGTTTTTAAGAAAATAAGTATTTTACCCAAAATCAATCACTCTGTATAAATCTGAATACTTAAAAAAAAAAAATTTGGTTTTATAATAAATAAATCTTAATTTTAGTAACAAGTATATTTTACTGTGGCCATTGTCATAAAATATATACATATTTACTTTGATGATCATGTATTTTTTTCTTAACATAATCATTTAATTTTGGATTAACCGCTGAATGTTTCTTTAACAAATCTATGAAAACATCTGCATATGGAGTATATATTAGGCCATCAAATAGTTTTTTACATTCTCTTATATCATTGGAAGATAAATTCTAAAAAAAAAAAATTATATAACAAAAATCATTCTAGTTTGACTATATAAAAATAATAAATGGACTTTATTTAAAAACAAGTATTAAGGTCTCATAATTTCCATTAAACATTATGAAAAGTCATATCAAAAAAATACATTGTATGCAAATTTTGCTATTTTAAATCCTATTCCTAATAAGGGTACTGGTTGGATTTTCATAAAGAAAATATAAAAAAAAAAAAAAACGGTAGCATAGGGGGGTCGCGGCACAGTTGGGACAAGTATATATGATATCTGACAGTGACTAAAATCACTATCATAAGAAACGCTTCTATGCAAATCCATAGATAGTGTTTAATTATAAGAAATTGGTAGATTATTTCAGAAGCAACAATATCTCTTATTTCCTTAATTTTATTCCGATTATAACAAAGTTATAAATTTTATACACTAGACTACAAAGAAACTTTCATCAGAAACAAAAATATACTTTTTGCCATGTTTTAAATGTGCAATTAGACTTTTTCTACCACTTCTAAGTTTTAATATTAATAATATTATTAAAAAACCCAGCACAGGGGGGTCGCGGAACAGTGGTAACGTGGCATAGTTGGATCAAGTATAATAATATCTGATAGTGATTAAAATCACTATAAAGAAAACGCTTCGATGCAAATCTTTAGATAGTGTTTAATTTTAAAAAATTGTTGGATTATTCCAAAAGTTACATGATCCGCTATTTCCTTATTAATATCCTGAATAAAAAAAAGGGATTATTAAAAAATATTATTTCTCATAAAACAATTGTGTTGATTCATACACATTTCAATAATTTATAGCATTATAAAGTTAAAAATATAAAATACAAAATCGAGAATTTTCACACAAAAATAGCATTTGGTATCCATATTCACCATGAAATTTTTTAATACGGTAGTCATTTTTACCATGAAGACAAATCCAGAGGTCAAATTTTTTTTTCCATAATAAAGTATATTGCATTAGCTTTAATTTAAGACATATATAAAAGTGTCAGACCTTAAATTTATGAAAAAAAATATACCAAATGATAAGTAAAGACATCAAGCATCTATGAAAAAAAAATTATATTGATTTGTTCATTTTTAAAAAAGTTATGGTAGTTTTTAGTAAAAAAAATTGAAAAAATTTCGAAAATTAGCGATTTTTAAATATGTTATTTTTTGGAGGTTTCTTTTTTTTAGAAATGATTTATACTAGCAACATGTTACCAGAATATTTGGATTATTATAGTTTAGAAGTAGTACACACAATTAGAGTAAAACAATTATTAAATTACAAAGTAAAATGATTTAATTTTGTAGATATCAAACTTTATTCGTCAATAAATACTTTGAGAACATTTATGAATGTATGATTGCATGAACAAGGCAATAGTAAAATTAAAGAATTATTACTTAATTATATTAAAGAAATTTTATGTAAACGGTGCATAATAATTGTACCAAAAAAAAATTTTAATTTATTATTTTCTATGAAATTGTGGTTACACCTTAATCAATACCATGTTTAATTAAAATAAATAATAATTACCGGATAATATAACTTTACTTCATCATCAGATAAATTCTAAAAAAAAAAATTTATAAAGCAAAAATCGTTTTAATATGATTGTATAATACAATATGGGCTTTATTTTAAAAAAAGTTTTAGAATGGTTAATTAGGGTAATTTTTGTTTTCTAGTGTTTTGTACTTAATTCGGAAATGAGCGATCATAGAAAAAAAAATTATAGAATATAAATTGTTGACAATATTATGGACTATAAGTTTAACTCTTACACATTTTTTTTAAACTCATTATAAGAACTATTATAAGAATAAATTAAAGTAATTAATATGTTGTATTCTTAAAACAAAAATTACCCTAATTAACCATTCTAAAACTTTGATTTATTGTTAAACAAAATATCTTATACACAATAAATAATAATACAAAATAATAAAGTATCTTGTTATTCGCATCCATACGATTCGATACTCATATGTACCATTTAAATTGCTTGAATAGTTTATTTTAAAAGTGACAATTTTTTTTAAATAACAATTTATAACATTGACTCATGTTGTTTTAATTGTTAAATTTCTAAAATTATTAAATAGCTATCCAAGAGGATACAAAATTTTTGAGTATTTTATACCTTGTTCATTAAAAATATACAAAATTTGCAAAAACTGGGTTTGCTATTTATGATACGACGCTAAGTATATACATTAATAATTAATAATTATACCACATTTTTATTATCTATACATATAAATAAGAGCATTAGTATGCTTGAAATATAGTTATTTCAATAGTATTAATTGTTAAAATGAAAGAATAACAATGAATATTATAATTATGATAACATTTAATTATAATAATTAAATTAAGTACAAATTAAATTTAAATAATTTGTGACATTATAAAAATAATTAATTTTTTTATCATTATACTGGATTTTAAGAACTTGTGCAATGAAGGATTAGGCTAAAATAATTATAATTTTTCGAAAAGGCGTTAATAATAAATTTATATATCAAGAGTCTGGCGGCGAAGTGTCCGGCGTCGAATCGGTGGCGGCGAAACGGTGGCGGAGAAATGTCCTAGACCCTGCACACACGAGTAGTGTTTGGACGACCAACAGCGTCGTCCGAAAAATATTTTGAAATGTTTATTAAAAACGATGCGTCCAATGTGTGCGTGCGGGAACAGTTAAGCAGCAATCTTATTTACGGGTTTTGGACGACGGGTAGCGTCGTTCATACAGTAAAATATTATTATAATACTAATTGGGTAATTCATTTTTAAAATTAATACGTGTACGCTAGTCGTTATCGGTTGCTATAATAGTAAAATAGTTATTATTATTATATTCATTTCTATTTTCTACTGTGACCTTTAAAATAATAAAATGTGTATTGTGTTTTATTTTATTATATTTAATTTTACAATTTTTTATACCTATAACATGCGGTATTATATTTAAAGTCACACCCCCACCAACAGCACCCACGAGCCGCTACTGGTTTAAATGAGAAGTTGAAATTATTGCTATAATTCATACATCTTTCAAAAAGTTATACCAATTTAAGTTTAAAAATAAAAACATATTGAAATTAGTAAATTCTATTAATCATAATTTTTAACATGCTTATATTAGTTTCACATGTATGTTGTTTGTAACTCTCCACTCGCCACGTGTTATTATCTCGCGTATCCCGTCGTCTATGGCCTTGAGACTATACTGTCGTAACGCATTTACCCCACCCCGCTCACCAATCACCACCAATACTATTTTCCTGTATAATTTTATTTTTGGTTTTCGTACCCGTATACGCGTGCGAGTCATCAATTATATATACAGGATGGCCCACCACTCACTGACAACTTAAATAACTTTTGATCCAGTTAATATTTTTAGCTGATTTTTTTTTTAAATAATAGTTATAAGTTAGGTCTATAGCTATATCTCAATAATTAATTTTTTTACATTTTAATAAAAATATTAATTATTTTTAAATTTTAAATAAAATGTAAAAATAAAATCTAAGATAGCTATTTTGTAGAGTAGAATTTAAGAAAAATTTTAGTAAAAAAATATCTTATTAATATTCAATAGTAAATATTCTGTAGCGTTTTGAAGTTTGTGAAATTTTGAATTTTCATGTATTATTTTACGGTATTAAACATTGAGAAAAGGACAGAAGAAAACGCTATCTTTTCAATATACTTTTGAATGAGAGTGATAAGTAATAATTGCCTTATCTAATTTCTTATCATGGTATTAATGCTAAGTTTGTAATGTATACACACTATCATCATATGTATATTTAGTAATCATGAAAAGATAGAGTTTTCTTCTGTCCTTTTCTCAATACGTATTTCAATGTTTAATACCGTAAAATAGTACATAAAAATTCAAATTTTCACAAACTTCAAAACGCTACAGAATATTTACTACTCAATATTAATAAGATATTTTTTTACTAAAATTTTTCTGAGATTCTACTCTACAAAATAGCTATCTTAGATTTTATTTTTACATTTTATTTAAAATTTAAAAATAATTAATATTTTTAATAAAATGTAAAAAAATTAATTATTGAGATATGGCTATAGATCTAACGTATAACTATTATTTAAAAAAAAAATCAGCTAAATAATTAACTGGATCAAAAGTTATTTAAGTTGTCAGTGAGTCGTGGGCCACTCTGTATATATATATAACACATTTTTTAATAATGACTGACACGGCCCCGCGTCGCTTCGTTATACACAATGCCCCACGACTCGAGCCACCTTTATCAGCCGTCGCCATATTTTATGAGTATTTGACTGACCAACACCGCGCGTTATTTGCTGCGGTGCAAAGTCCTGCAAGTGCCGCACGGCCGACGACGTCCCGCCGCAAATGATACCGTAGTCTTCTTCCCGTTGCCAAAGTGACAACGTCTACGATTCGATCCGCACTCGCGCACCGTCGCCATCAACGCTGCTAACCTTATATATTCCTACTGCCGCCGCTAATATTAATATATATATATATATATATATATTAATATTTATATATACGTATATGTTAATATTCATTTATATATTCCTACAGCCGACGCCGCTGCCCCTGTATATGCCTCGTGTATAACGTTCCCCCCGCCAGGCCCGCCCACAATACACGGCTATACCTCTTGCATGATACGTTTACGTACTTATGTTGCTTTACATGTATATATATATATATTCTAATTACTTTTAAAACTTATATATTAATACACTTTATTCTCATTAAGTGATATGTAGTGTATTCATTCCGATTACGGGGGATGATTCTCGTATCGTCATTTTTCGTACTACCTCCACGTTGCGCACCTGCTGCTTTTCTTGGATGTGGTAGGCGTTTCTTAGACTCCCTCTCCGAAATCGAACCCTGTTTTGCCGTTACCCGTTACAACCATGATATATTTATAGTAACTACTATCATAACATGAAACTAAAAAGTTCAAAATAATTTTTAAAATTATCTTAAAACAATAATGAACGAAAAGTACTAGTATTATTGTGATAAAAGCGTAGGTGCTTGTGCCATATTTTTCGTATATTGAGCGCCCGACTCTTTATAATAATACTAGTACTTTTCGCTCTTTATTGTTTTAAGCTTATTTTGAACTTTTTAGTTCGATGTGCTTTAATAGCGCGTTTTTAGTTTTTTTAAACTATATTTTTATGGGTTTTTTTCTATTAGAAGTTGAATAAAGTAACAGAAAATATAACAAAATCATCACAGTAAAATCAATATATTCTAAGCTTTATATTGGAGTTAAAATAAATCCAATATTATTTTTATTATTTTTCATTTATGAATTTATGATTGCATGAACATTTAAATTAATAAAATTGAAGAATTGTTATTAAATTATATTTAAAAAAATTTATGTTAAAATATATAATAATTACCGGATTAGTTGAGTTTAGAATATTTTCTCTGGATCTGCTGGATTCCTTTATACCAATTTAAGTTTAAAAGTTAAAACACATTGAAATTAGTTGATTTTATTTATCATAATTTTTATGTTAAAATAAATCCAATATTATTTTTATTATTTTTCATTTATGAATTTATGATTGCATGAACATTTAAATTAATAAAATTGAAGAATTGTTATTAAATTATATTTAAAAAAATTTATGTTAAAATATATAATAATTACCGGATTAGTTGAGTTTAGAATATTTTCTCTGGATCTGCTGGATTCCTTTATACCAATTTAAGTTTAAAAGTTAAAACACATTGAAATTAGTTGATTTTATTTATCATAATTTTTATGGGTGTGTTTCTATTAAAAGTTGAATAAAGTAACAGAAAACATAACAAAATCGTATAGTAAAATCTATAGCTATGTATTGGAGTTGATATAAATACAATATAATTTTATAACAAAAATTTATCACATGTGGCTAATCAATTAAATAAAATTAAAACTATAATGAAAATATTATGAATTTAAAAACTAAAAAATATTAAACTCAAAAGCCACAAAAAATTACTGAAAAGTCATGGATACGTATTTCGGAAACAATGTTACCATTATCAACGTTACACACATACTGACATTGTCATTTATGAATAAATGATTTCATGAACAATTAAATTAATAAAATTAAAGAATTATTATAAAATTATATTAAAAAAATTTATGTATAAGTATATTGTATTACAAAAATTTTTAATTTATTATTCTCTATAAATTTGTAGCTTCACCTTAAATAATACACCGTATAATTTAAAAAATAAGGATAATTACCGGATAAGTTGAGTTGGTAATATTTTTTCCAGAGCTACTACATTCAGAAAAATTAGATGCAAAACAAAGACCTAAAAAAATCATTACAACAATTTTTAAACTCATTTTATTAAAATATTTTACAATAATATTAATGTTAGGGACTATATAAATTTTGATTTGTTTGATGAATGTTTGAGAGCGCTTGATTTTAAAGTAAGAAAATGCACATATAATATAAATATATATTAAATTATGTGATACATACGTCACTACTAACTACATACAAACGTCAAAAGATGAGAACTTATGATATTTATATATTTGAACAGTTGGTACTTGATAAAAATAAAAATAATTCGAATTTTTGATTAAAGATGCATCACAATAATCATTAAAACAAAAATTCAACACCAAAAATATCTCCGTAAGTATTTCTGTGCTGTATACCGAAGCAATATTCTTAATTCTAAGTAAATTAAATTAAATAAGGATATAGCGCTGGCTATCTACTCAATAGTCATATGCTTACAAGATATTCTAACATAACATAATAATATAGTTCCAAACTTTACATTTCTATATATATATGTTTATTATATGCTAAATGTTAGTAATAGCTAACATAGAGCAGATACCCTGACGTGAACCCATAATTATTTTGTAAATATTAGTTTTAAGGAATTTATTATAACACTAGAAAGTACTGTACTAATATTTAGAAAGTAACCATTAATACTGTAAATTTCATGTTAATTATATCCTTAATTGTTAATTATTTTTAATAAAAGGGGATCTGACTACTGATTCGATTGTCAGTGTTCAATTAGTGAATGTTAAATTACCATTGTTATTATTTTGACTCTTCCTGACAACACTTATCCACATACAGTTCATCACATGGAATTTGGCATCCCTGGAAAATTTGGCTCAATTGTGCACCACTATAAATTTGTAACAAGAAATTGGCAGATTATTGAAAATAACCTCAAGACAACAAATTATAATAATAATAATACAAACTGACAGCATTGTTAACGTTCATACGCGAACGCAAAGCGCGTATTCTCGCGATTGTTGATATCGTACTTTCGAATAATAAAAACAAATTACCACTTGTACTTTTCATTTTTGGTTAATTCGACTGAAATACGGTCAATAACGTACACTATGTCTGAAAAAGCACCGACCAGTTAAGCTGGCCCATAATCACAATCCCATTCAAATCCAAATTGCAATAAATAGTGCGTCGACCGAACAGGCAATTCAATCGACAACGGTAACAAAACCGGATGCACTTTGAAACAAAGTACGTGAGTAGTATAATAATGTATGGCAGCCATACCCCTCTGCCTTACATACCCCTCCCGCCATAGTAGGGGAAAGGTGGGAGGGGAATGGAGCAAACCCCTTGTATTCTAATCCGATGCAACCCAACGTACACTAATCCGATGAAACCCAACTCACACTTTGTACATGTGCTGCCATCTGGCGGACGGCGCGTACCCTGAAACCCAATTCACACTTTGTACATGTGCTGCCATCTGGCGGACGGCACCCGCCATGTAACCCAACACACACACTATGATTGCGCGAGTATTTCGCCCGACGGACGGCGCTGCGTAATTCGATCGCATCGCAGTTATGATAAACGATGAAAATGATGTTTTACAGACAGTTTAGTGACGTGTTATAATGGATCGGTGTCGTTGTTGTTGTTGTTGTTGTTCGCGCCGAGGTGAGGACGTAGAAAAAATAAAAAACATCGATGAAAGTTTACTTAAAAACAGATCGCAGATTTATGAACTGTTCGTAAGATTTAAAGGGGTAGATTTTAGATTAGGCCGACAAGTCGAAGATTTAAGAGACTATATAAAACATTTGCATGAAGTATTAAAAATTATCGATAAACGTGTAAATTTTTTAGAAATTGTTGTAAAAGACAAGACGAACGTTAATGATTACGAAATAATTGATAGTGAAAATTAGAAAAAAAGTCGATCGGTCAGGTGCGATTCGTTACAAAAACAGTATAAGATCATTCGGTCATTTGTTGTTGTGTTGAACGGACATGATTTTATGTTTTATTCTCGACAATATGACTATAGCGAATAGTGTTGGTCAAGTCGAATTTCAACGTAAAAATGATTTGTTAAATTGTTTGGTTTACAGTCTGAATGAAAAACAAAAATTTTTCATAACGATCGGTATTGAACCGAGAGAACCGTTCAACACCGAGGTGCGTATTATTTCTCCGTTAAAAAATGTTTCGATTTCGATAGATTTTTTAAAGCGTATTTTCGGTTCGATGGGCAATATTTTATCTTTGGTATTGACCGCGCCGATTAAAAAAGAAAATATTTTACTACTCGAGGATGTTGAAACAGCAGTATGGAAAAGGGCGCATCGCAAGACAAACGTCATTTTAATAAAATCGAAAATATATCCAAAGTGTCAGGTCGTTTTCAAATATGAGCACTTAATCACCTTATTAGATTTGGAGTATGTAATTTTCGATGCAATCAATCGTCAAAACACCGTCAATAGACCGATCATTAAAAAGCAATTTGAAGAGATTATCGATTATTGTTTCAATATTTTCACACACGAGCGTATAACAAACGATTACAACGCAATTACATTATTTGTAAAAAATATCGATTTCACCGAGGTTGGAAAACATATAATGAAAAAACATGATCATAGTTATGCACATGAAATAAAAACATTCATGTCTACCAGCATTGTGGATCGATTGGCGGATAAAAAAACGTGGTATAACACACCTCAGAAAAAGGTTTGCAATATCAATTAAAAATTAACTATTTTATTAATAGTATTTCAATTTTAGAACGAACATGTGCGAGAATTCGGTTGGATGTCTTTGGTTAAGTCCATTAACGAGGAACCTTGTACACAATCACCATCAAATTATTATTGACAATAGAGAAATTAAATATTGTTAAATTTACACGATGTAATACATGTATAATATTCTTTATTATTGAATTTACACTGTGAAATAAATGTATAATAAAATTTAATTATTATTTTTTATATATATATTATCCAAATACCATTTTCTCAGCTTGTACGCTGTAAAAAGCGTGCATCTATGCGGGTCTAAATTTTTGTGAAATATACAAGATGGAAAAGTATAATTTTCGTATAAGTGGCCGATCGGGGGACAGCCCAGAGTTTCTAAATCGTTTACAATGCACGGTTTCGTAATGAGTTTTTCCAGCAGTTGTTTTTTCTGTATTCCTTTTACGAGTATAGACTTATAATTCGTAGAGTTTAATATCGGGCGAATTTCATTCGCATTCACCTGACCGTAGCTCGCCGGTATTCGATGATAATATCGTTTCAACCATTTGTTTGCCGTCATTGATTTTGCATTCCGTGCCGGTTCACTTTTGAATATCCATGTTTGAGCGGTCAATTCGTCCGTATCGACTATAGACAACTCTTTTATGACGTATTCACCGTGTGAGCCCAGTACGCAGTGTATATCAAATATTGCCGTACTCATTTTTAACTTGTCGAAATATTAGATGTATTCTCTTCAACGGCTGATGAGTCACTAAAGTTACTATTTTTATTTTTCTCTAGAAATCTAATCCGTCCAACAATATTTTCTAATATTTTATTAGTCGCGTTAATTGAAGTGGAATCATTAATACGAGTATATATTTTGGATTTAGTTTCATCGAAATCGATATTTAAATTATTCAAATGCGAACTGACGGTTTTAATTTCATCAGTTAGGTTTCGCAATTTAATATCAGACGTGGAAATTCTATTATCTAAACCGTCAATTAGCAATTTTGTGAGATTCACGTCATCTGTTAATAGTTTTATTTTATCTTCAATAGTGATTAAACCTATCTGCGCTTGTGCAATATCTTTTAAAATTGTCGTACTGATATTTTCAAGTTTTTTAAGTTGGCTGTTGGGTAAGGTCGGGTTGGGTTGATTTGTACCAAACACGTTCATGTTGTGCGCGGTTATTTATACTGATTTATTTTACACACACACACCACCGCTTTTAATATCGTTCGCGGACACTCACGACTTATGAGAACTATATCACTTCATAATCAATTATTACTTATATTTGGTGTTCACTCTTATATATATATACAAGGAGTTATTTTAAAAATAATTACACAGATTATTGTTAGTATAAAATTAAATCATTTATTTATTTAATTTTCACATAAAATCGATTAAAAATTTTTTCTTTGGAGTATTGCCCCTGTAGATCAAGTGCATGTTGTCGTCTTCTGTGTTGTTGAAACTTTCGATNTTCTGTGTTGTTGAAACTGTCGATTTCCTCATCAGACAAGCTCACCGATTTCGGTAAATAAACATAAAATGTACCGGGAATTTTTTCCTCGTTTTTCGAGCTCCGGGATTTACCTTCTATAAATATTTCGATATTAGAATTTAAATAAAAAATATATTTTAAATGTAATTACCACTATTGACGTTGATGCCGGTGTCCGACAATCGACATTTAATAGACGGACCAAATTTCGTTTCCGATCTTGACAAATTCAAAATGACGTATTTCCTATTGATTGTCAGTTCGCCTATGGATTTGTGGGTACTGTGTACTTGATGTTGTAATTTTTTCCCTAGTTCCTCCATATTGCCAGACAGCGCCGTGTAATACGAGAGAAACTAATGGATTTTCGTGCGGAACCGCTTATAAATATCGTTCATATTTATTTTCTTATAGTAGTAAACATGGTAATTAAAGTACACCACAAGGTCTTAAATATGAGATTAAACAACGTGTTTACATCGCCTTATTATGTTAATGATAAATGTTAATTGTTTAACCGCCCGAGTCGCTACTTAACGACTAATATCGTTCGCGGACACCCACGAGTTGTGACAACTGTCAAAACCCAGCCACTTTACCAATACTTTGGATTTTTTTCTTTTGATAATTTTTTCAATGAGAAAATCATCTGGATATTTTGTACCGTGTAATTCGTATTCATAAAAACAACCTTCTATAGGCATGCCCGTGTAATCTTTTAACATATAAGTAATTGGCGATGTATTATTAACTTTGGAAACTGTAAAAATTTCACTGCTCCAATTAGCCGTATATCCTTTAATAAATAAAGATTTATGTATAGATATCCGCACTTTCTGTCCAACTTTGAATTCGGTTTTTGATTTAATTATTTTTCTCTGATCAAGCTTAACCGACAGCGGATTCGAGTCGGCCTGTACAGGTGTCATACCAATCGTGCGGTGTTTGTTGTTATTATATTTTTCGATTAAAAAATCTAGTATATTAATCCATTTTTGCGAACCTCTAGCGCTAAATTCTCGATACATATTTGTTTTTAAAGTTCTGTTAAAACGTTCAACAATGGAAGCTTTAATCGTGCTAAAAGTCGAATAATGATTTATATTATATTTTTTTACAAGCTTTTGGAAATGCGTATTGTAAAATTCCCGACCCCTGTCCGTATGGATTAGGCGGGGACGGCGAAGTGCAAATAGTCTAGCCATCGCTTCAGTAACGGCTTTTCCGGATTTTGTTTTCAGCGGTATTGCCCACGCGTATTTAGTAAAGCAATCTATCACGCAGAGTATATATTTATAACCCATATTTATTTTTGCTAGAGGAATAAATTCTACAAGATCGGCTTCCCAAAGATCATTTTTACCAAAAACGTTAACTCTTCTCCTGATAAAATTTTTTCTTGCCGGCCTGTGCAGTTCAAATGCGATATCGGACCTAGACATATTTGGGCATTCGTTTAATGTACCCGGATTATAAAAGTTCTTCGAAAATCGATATAATTTCACCGTCTAAACTCGTGTTACCGGCATTTTTTGAAGACATGAGTAATTTCAACCTGGAGACCAACTCGTTCGGATCGTTCCAATACACATACGTTTCTTCTCGGTCTTTTATAAGTGATTTAGAAAGGCCGCCCCCACTACTGAACAAATGTTCAATAATTTCATAGTATTTTTTACCGCCCTTTTTTAAACTGTTTTTACCGGCTTTGAGGTGGGCCGATGTTAATAATAAAATTTTTTTATAAACAGCCAAATCCTCTTCGTCATAGTCTATCGGTCGTTTGTTGAAGATGAGTTGAACTAAACCCTTGGATAGCGGATAGGAGTTATTGTCAATGAGAATTTTTCCACTAGCCCAATCAAAAGTTACATTCTCGGCATTACCGTACGATGCGATTTGCCCGTCGATCCCCAGTTTCGGTCCGTACAATTTATCTATTTGTTCGATCCGACGGTTTTCATCGACATCGCCACCAATGTACTTGTTTAAATTTATAAAAAAATTATTTTCTTCTTTTTCAGTCTTTACATCGTATAATTCGTGCAAATCTTTTACAATATTTTCATGTCTAAATGTTTTTTCTTTTTCGTCATTCGCTTTTTTATAATAATTTTTCTCATTAAACTTCGCTATTTTTTCAAGCGGGTTTATGATAGGTTTTAACGTGTCGGTAATTATAACTTCATTATCGGCGCGCTGCTGTTTTAAATCGTTAAATTTTCGTCTAATGTTGTCTCTTGCCCGTATTAAATCGGTCAACACCGATTTGTCAGAATGCATTGTCGTTAATTATTAGATTTCGAAAATAATGTCTTATATAGCGACGAAATAATGAAATCCGAAACGGTAACGTCCATTATCTCTTTCGTCGTCTTTGCTAATGACAACGAAACCGAATTTTTCACGATTCCAACCGGTCGCGCAAAAAGTTTTAAATTCTTTGAAGCTCATGTCTCCGGAACAATGATCTTGAAATACGTGTTTCAAATTGAGTTCATCCTCCTTGAATAATATAATAAAATTAGTGTTATCCCTCAACAGGTGTTTAGGTATTCTAGAGTACGATTGTGCGAGATAAAAACAGTCTATGTTGTTGTGTCTTCCACGAGAATAATACGATTTTATAATATTTTGATTTTCGCATATAACATCGTCGAAAATAAAAACAGAGTTGGGGAGCGCTTTTTCGGGAGGCGTAACACTATCGTTTTCGTGAAAAGTAAAAAGCTTTAACCCTTTCAACCCTTGTAAGATTTTTCTTAAAATTATGTATTTTGACTGATGTAGGGTTTTACTATAGATATACACATTCTCAAACTTGATTCCATTAATATCCGTTAACAGCGCGAAAATAACATTGGTCTTGCCACACCCCGATGGTCCTACAATCAACCCTCTCAATGTGTTTGGAAATAAAAATCCGTGTCGTTTAAATGTCGAGCCCACGGTTATATCTACATTTTGAACCGAGAGTTTATGTTTTTGCTCGAAAATTCGCATATTATTAAAAACATATATATATATTATTGAGAATCATGAAAAACTAACGCACACGATGAAAACCACTGGAGCAATGAAGAACAATAAAGGTCGCGGATTGCTAAACTATATTATAAATAAGATGCCTATGGAAATGCATTTACCGTCTTATCAGTAAAAATTTTGTTGTATATAAATTATGAAAATTCGATTATTGTATTATTTTTTAGGTTTTGCGGGCCAGGGACAAAATTGAAAAAACGATTGGCGCGCGGCGATGCGGGTATAAATAGCCTAGACAGAGCGTGTAGAGTACACGACATGGCCTACGATGCCAGTAACGTAAAATCGGATCGTCACGCGGCAGATTCTGTTTTAGAAAAGCAAGCTTGGGATTCGTTCGCTTCTGAAAATACGGGCTTAAAAGAAAAGGCGGCCGCGTTGGCCGTCGCTACGGGCATGAAGTTGAAGAGAAAATTGGGTATGGGCTATAAAAAAGTAAAGAATATCAAGAGAAAAACAAAAAAGACGCCGACAACAAATACTATGATAGCCGCTAAAAATAAAACAAACAAGAATAAAAAACATTTAATGTCCAGAATCATACCAACGCCCAAGTATGGAGGTGTTTTACCGCTGATTACGCTATTTTCGGCTCTGAGCGCACTAGGAGGTCTGGCAGGAGGAATTTCGAATGTAATAAAGACGGCACACGAATTAAAAACCAATAAAAAGCAGGGTAATGGAATTAAACGATATCGAGTAGGACGAGGCATGTATTTAAAACCCTACAAAGGAGGAGGTAACAGTGGGGAGGGTAAAAAAAAAAATCTTATTAAAAAAATAGAGTTACCCGATAACGCCATGTATGATTATGAGGTTATAAAGTATGCAAAACTATTAAAAATACCTCACTTTAGGGGCTGTTATTGTAGAGATAATTTGCCGAAACGAAGTAGGCACGCCGAGTCGATGGTTGTAAATTTAGATAGTGTTAATAACAGTGGTACGCATTGGGTCTGTTTTAGTAAAATCGGAAAAAATGTAAATTATTTTGATAGTTACGGAAATTTAAAACCGCCCGTCGAAATTATAAACTATCTAAAAGGGTGCAATATATATTACAATTACGATAATTATCAAAATTATAACTCGTCAAATTGTGCTCAACTCTGTTTGAGATTTCTCGCGTCGCCATGACGTCTATTTCACTGAACGGAAACGCGTCGGACCTGGAATGCGTGTTTTTCCCGCCTCTAGAAGTGGAAAAAAATACAAAAATATGTCTTTTGAGTTTGGAAACCAATAACTCTATTCCAAACATAAATGCCGGTAATAATAAAATGGGTGTTGTCCGGGAAGACGGTAGTATTTTCGAGATTGTTATTCCGACGGGGTCGTATGAGCTGCAGCATATAGACGATTACCTGACAAATGTAATGACGGCGCTCGGTATCACACTCGAGCTAACGACTAACGTAATTTCCTTAAAATGTGAAATGCGGTGTAATAGAGACGTCGATTTAACAATGCCCGATAGCATCGCCCGTTTACTAGGTTTCGGGAAGAAAAAATATTCGGCCAATGTTAAACACGAGTCGGAATATCCGGTAAATATATTGAATGTTAATTGTATAAAAGTTCATTGTAATCTGGTTTCCGGTTCATTTGATAACGGTTTACCGAGTCACGCCTTACACGAATTTTACATGAACGTTCCACCGGGATTTCATCGATCCGAAGTTATTGCGAAACCTGTATATTATCCTTTAAACACCGCATTTATAAATCAAATACGGGTAACATTGCGAGATCAAGATGGTAAATTAATCGATTTAAGAGGAGAGCCGTTATCAATACGACTTCATTTGAAACGTGTTAATTAATGGGTTTAAAATTTGCCGAACATTATAAGGGGAAAAAATTTGGCACGACGATTACTTATGACGTTAATAGGAAACTCCACACCGTCATTTTGGGACGGCGAAACGGTTTATTAAAACGTGAAAATAAAAAAAGAATAAAATTGAGCAAAAAAAATTTACTTTTCCTGAAATCACTACGTGTATTATAAAAAAATGGATAGCTCTTATTTGAACGTATTGGAAAAATACACCGATGAAACGCCGATAGAAGATTTACAATACCGCTCGTATTTACCGTTTTCCACCACAGCGCTCTCGAATGGCGATCAGATACGGATAGCCGTACAGAATACCGACTCGTATACTCTACTTTGCGATAGTTTTATATACATCGAGGGCGAAGTGAAAATATCGGGGTCTTCCGGTGAAATAGCCATTGCAAATAACGGTTTAGCTTTCCTGTTCGATTCCATATCTTATGAAATGAACGGAATAGAGATTCAGAAAGTAAAAGATCCCGGAATAACCAGTTTGCTAAAGGGGTATTGTTCTTATTCGCTGAACGATGTTAATAATCTCCAAAATGCCTACTGGGACGCCAACACAACGCCCAATGATTATTCAAAAACAAATTTTACTTTTTCGGGTTGCATACCTTTATCGCATATTTTTGGATTTTGCGAAGATTACCGTAAGATATTGATTCAAGTTAATCATCAACTCGTAATGAACAGAGCGTTAAACGACAGAGCCGCGTTAAGAGCGAAGCTTACGGAAGGGGTTACGTGGGCGAGTGAAGAAGCTAAAGAACTATTAAAATCCAGTATCGTGTTAACAAAAGTCGTTTTGAAATTGCCCGTGGCGCGTGTTAACGACCGTGAAAAATTAAAATTGCTGAAAATTGTCGAAACTCGTAAAAATATTTATTGCGCATTTAGAAATTGGGACCTGTATGTGTATCCCGAGTTGCCGAATGTGGAGAAAACGAGTTGGATGGTGAAAACCAGCTCCAACATCGACAGACCCAGATATTTAATAATAGCTTTTAACACGCGAAAATCTACCGATTCGGGAGATCGTACACAACAATTGGATTCCTGTTCGTTAGTTAATCTAAAAGTGCATTTAAATTCGTCCGAGTATCCCTATGAAAACTTCAATGAGAATTTCGACAAAAAATTAATTACTCTGTTCTACCAGAATTACGTTAATTTTCAACAGACGTACTACGAAAGAAGAAAATCTAAACCGTTATTCAATAAAGAAGAGTTTTTGAAATACGGCCCCGTTTTTTGTATAGACTGCACGCGTCAAAAAGACGATGTGAAAACTTCTACTATAGATCTCAGAATCGATTTTGAGTCATCGAGCAAATTTCCCGAGAATACCACCGCGTATTGTTAACAATATCATACACGACCGCATAATACAATATAATCCGTTTAGTAGTGAAGTTCGAATGTCGTAAATATTATGTTTAAATTACTATCGAAATACAACATTAGCGCTTACTGTAGTTATTATTGTCAATAAAGTAAACACATTATACAACAACGAATGACACATTTATTTTTACATTAATTTGTCACAATTATTTTCAAACAAGATAATTGTATTATGTTATTTTTCTGGTGCTTCTTCATCAGCCGCCGGTTTTCTAAAATGAAAATATATATACATTAATAATGAATTATCGCGTTATAGGGACAACAAACACGTACCTGAGTCGATAATGACCATGAGCGCTAGTGTTTATTCGATTCGGTAGAATAACACGTTTGTCGTCCAAACGATTCTTCAATGTCATTTTCATTGATTTTATAGTGTAAACATCGTGTTTATACGATCTTATGGAAACATTTTCTCTGTAAGGCGTGTACGTATGATATTTAATTATCGGGAGTGACGGATTATCGGCCCTCTCGTGAATGTTTTTGTTCACCTCTGCGCCGCACAAAACAGCCGCCTCTTTGGCTTCGATAATCCCGATATCTCCCTCATCATCCGCGAACAGACAATGTTTAAAGTCTTCTACTGTCAAATGATATTTCACAGTAGGCCTTCTTATCCCCTTGGCTTTGATTTTTCAGTCCCCTCAACATCGAAACCATACGCTTTCGTTCTCAGACTCACAAACTCCAGTATTGCCTTGCCACCACACTCGTCCGACCAGAGACCCGGTACTTTTTTGCGGGCGGCCGAATAGCAGAAATGATCTTTTGGTAATGACGATGTGTCAAAACGCTCCATCAACTCGGGGTGTTCTTTGATCTCCGCATAAAAATTTTCGGTCAACACATAGTACACTAGAGAATCTATATTATAAATTAATATTTATTTTACTTTTAATTATCGTCATTTATTACCCGTATCGCCGTACATCAGCATAATACGATCTTTAAAATGTTTTTTCATATAATTATAATGGAAATCGTACACCAAAGTTTTTGAAATGTCCAGTATACAGAATCCCGCGTACACCGGTTTTGTAAAATGAATAATTTTATTGTCCAATACGAATATTGAAAGATTTTCCTTGTACGTGACACAATGGTTGAAAGTGTGCTTTTTAATCAATTTAGCGGCACGTTTAGGATCGCACACGAGTTCCATCTTTTTTCTGAATTCAACGCGTTCCATACACTTACCTTAATAATAAAATACGATATTAATTTATAAACATTTATAATAGTACGCTTTTTTTTACCAAAAACAGAATTATTCATTAATTTGAAAAAATCTTTTTCGAAATCGTTAGTAGCCGCCTGCCGCATTTCCGTGTTTAATTTGATGTACTTGGAAAGCCATCTGGACTGTTTAAATTCTAAAACTTTGTGCACCTGTGATTATAACAGTTATTATAGTAAAATAATTTCAAAAAAATATTAATATATTACCTTTTCAACTTTAAGACCGTTTTCCATCGCTTGCTGTAAATTCAAATAGTGCACGACATAATGCTCTTTAGTTTCTAAAGTTGAAAGTAATTTTTTCGCTTTAGAATTTGGGGGTATTCTGTTTTCGGGTAGAAAAGGCATTTCATTATGCATGTCGTGCTTTCCTTCCGGATACGTTACTGTTACTTCCAGTGCGAGCCCAATGTCCGAGTCTTCGTCCATCTCCCGCACTCTTTTCAAAACCGTTTCATGGTCCTCGTCTATCCACCTGAACCCCGCGTACGGAAGATTTTGCGACATACTCCAACCGTACAAATTGTTTACGTCTAAATAAATAATTTCGGACTTGGGCTTTTCGGCGTCATAATTAGGCGTTTTTAAATTATTCGCTTGAGCGTATTTAAGTATAGAATTTGTCATACCTCCCCTTATTCCTCTTGAAATGAAAATTTGTTTTTCGTAGTCCGATATGAGCTCTAATTTTACAGCCGTGTGTAGCAACATCGCGTCGAAAGATAAACCGGGACTCGTATAGTAATACGACGGTTCCAATCTATACTTTTTCAAACATAACTTTTTGAAATTCGAAAATACATCCGCCAGTATAGTGACATCGGTTTTCAAATACAGATCCGAATATTCCCCCAAATTTTTACAATTAAAATGTTTCCATACGGTTTGCGCGTGTACATAATCTTCATCGCTAATGTGCGATTCGGTCAATTCATTATAAAAGTCTTTTTTACTCGGCAATTCAGTAGTTTCCAGCACATCGTAATTACTCGTAAAGGAATACGGGTAAACACCTTTGCGTGTGACCAAATCGATATTCTCTGCCGAAAATACTTTTGCCGTTTCCTCGAATAGATGTTTACCGGCAGCGCGTAAATTGTTTGCAAGTGTGGCCAAACTGGTGCCCATGAACCTATACGTGTCGACGAATCTCACAGTGAACGTGTTGGAAACATATTTTGAAAAACTTATATATTTTTCTTCGGTAGACGGTATTAGAGAAATTCGTCCTTTTGAAAAACTTAATTCTCGCACGAGAAAATGAGCGTCGTAGTTGCTTAACCCGTGAAAAAAACACGGTACGAATGTAGGTGTTTTTAATTTAAGATTACAATTATTGCATAAAGTATGTCTATATTTACCGCTCAAGTGATTGTGATCGGCCACTTTGTAATTCTCATCGCTGAATTCCATTTTACACAGATCGCAATTTGTTTTCATTGCGTGTACCGCCGTTTCTTCGTCGGTCATGACGATACCGACATTTGTTTTCAACAGCGCTTCGATTTTTAGCGCTTCTTCGCACACTTCTTTCACAAACCGAGCGGCAACATCATTCGACCCGCTGTTGCCTCTGTATATTTTCGGTTCTGTGCTGATATCAAAGCGATTCAATAATTCTACGGGCACACTGTCAGCCGCTTTTATTAGAAAACAATAGCTCATCGGTTTGTGTTCTTGAATGGCGCGGGTATTATCACCCATTTTTTTGTCTACTCGTTCTAATAACGATTCAAAATCGCAGTAAATTGAAAAAGGATGTTCCTGCATTTTTTCGAATGCTTCAAATTGTAATGTAGTTCCCTCCTCCGGCATGATGGGTAAAAATGATTTATTTTCTCCGCAGATTTTTTTATGTTCTTTTAATGCTTCAAAACCGGAAAGTTTATATTTTTTACGAATGAAATTAAAACCCAAAAAACATCTTTTGCAAAACACCATTTTAGATGTATTTTTAGTCATCTGGCTCTGTACTAAACGCCCAAAATCTGTTATGTACGCGTAATGATTACCGCCGGTACTGTTGGACACCAATAGTAAATCGAAATGATCCGATTTTTCCTCGGTAACCACCCTCAACGGATAAACTAAATGCGACATACCGTTTCTCTCCTCATCGCCATTTCGTTTTTTACTACTCAATCCGTACACATTAACCGATGTGTTTTCGTTATTTTTTTCAAACGTTTTTATTTCGTCAATAGGCGTGGGGAATGTTAGTCCGGAAAAATTATAATCGTGTTTTAATGACTTGTAATTATGTCCGACAATATTAGCATTATTTTTTCCTCTCATTTTTTTAGCCAATATCGCCCATTTAAAGCAAAAAGAATCGATATTTTGCGGATTTATAACAGCGCACTTATTTTTAATATCTTTCGGTAATTCAATAAAAGAGTTTGCCGACAACGGAGAATATTTGTAAACGCCGAGAAGTATCCCGTCTATACATAAAAACGAAAAATTGCTCCCCTTGCCCGCGTAATTCTCCTCTTCTTCGATTAATTTTTCAAACGCGTTATCGACAATCGTACTGATATCACTACAGGCAAATAATTCCACGGCGCTAGTTTTAAAAGATCGATTCTCGTTCGTGTCACACTGATTCGGTACATTGTAAGTGGCTTCCAATTTTAAATTGAATTTGATCGGACCAAAGTTTTCCAAACACTCGTATAATTTATTTATTAATTCGTTTTTTATTTGAAATAAAAATGATTTATAACCGTCAATTTTTTCCACATTTTTTTTATAAAACCAAAAGATATTGTCTAACGAGGTGCCTATTAATTGAAAAGTCGATGATGAAATTTGATCTAATCCAGCTGTTTAATTCGTACACTACTAACCGTATTATAATTTCTTTTCGTCCCGCTCGTACTCGGCCGTTCATTTCCTGCAACGAACATACCACTGAATTTACCCATTCGTTATTATTATTATTTTTTACTTACCACACGACTGTAATGTTCTCGAATCCGGATGATTTCCGATCGCTATATTATAATCAATTCCGTATTTTGTGAGATCTATATAACGATACAATTTATTTAATCAACTATAGTTAATTTAAAAAAATAAATATTTTTATACTAACGATGCACTTTTTGAATGTGACGTACGAGTGAGTTTTTATCTGATAATGTTGAACCGCATACATGACACGGAAATCTAATCCTATCGTGTTTTACTCGGTGCCTTACTAAATATCTTTTTACAGAAAAAGTTTTATCACATTTATCACAGCTAAACATTTTTAAAAGAGGTCGCCGAATATTGATTCAAACCGTTATAAGACGACAGCTTTATATAGCAGTACATTTATCATTAACGTAAAAGCGCTTTGTCTTTATGAATGAATTAATTGCATAAACAACACCCTCAAGTTGTTTATGAGTTAATCACACACACACACACACACACACAAATTTAAGACATTTTAAAGTTGTTTATGAGTCAGTCGCTTATTTACGACACTCTGTAAATTACCTTGTTTACCACCATAGGAGACTATATAAGATAAACGAAATTACGTAAATTATACAATTTCAATCGACGAGATGGAATCATTGAAAAAGAAAAGCCAGGTGCACAAACCCATCGAAGNAGGAAAAGCCAGGTGCACAAAGCCATCGAAGAACTCGTCGTAAATCGCAAATATGCGATTATGGAAATATCTAGAGTGGAAACCCGGAACGGGTCAGCTATCAGATGCCGGTTATCGGACGCCGGCGCGAACGTCAATACGAGTAATTACGTTTAAAATATATATTTATATATTTTTTTATAAATCAAAATATTTTCACAGACGGCCCATCCGACGATGAAATTAAAGAACCATTCTTCGTTTATTTGCCCGAGTCTATAATGTTAACAGATGGAGAAATCGAAAAATACAACATCGACCAAGAGAAAAAGTTAAATCTTGTATACAAAGGAAATATAGAAAATAATTTTATTGTAGATTTTGTTGAATAATTTTCACATTAATGTATAATTTNCCTTCTTCGTTTATTTGCCCGAGTCTATAATGTTAACAGATGGAGAAATCGAAGAATACAACATCGATCAAGAGAAAAAATTAAATCTTGTATACAAAGGAAATATAGAAAATAATTTTATTGTAGATTTTGTTGAATAATTTTCACATTAATGTATAATTTAGTCAATAAAAACTCTAAAGACTATATGACGGTGTTAATTATTTTCACTAGAAATAATTTTACTATGGTAAAATATAACGAAATGAAATTTGGCTTATTAGATTTGGCTTAATAGATTTGTTTGTGTCTGGATGTATCGGTGTCGAAATTAATGGCCGAGTCTGACACAATGTGTCAGATTTATTTAATTATTAATTTTAAGCAATATTTATAATTCGTATTTTTCATCGAATTAATGGATCGTNATTAGATTTGGCTTAATAGATTTGTTTGTGTCTGGATGTATCGGTGTCGAAATTAATGGCCGAGTTTGACTTAATGTGTCAGATTTATTTAATTATTAATTTTAAGCAATATTTATAATTCGTATTTTTCATCGAATTAATGGATCGTTATAGGAAAGATGTGTGTATTTTCCATGTTAATTACTACGACGAATTGACAAACAAAAGGTGAAATTGGGCTTAATCGATTTGTTTGTGTCTGGACATAGTGTTATTGAAAGTAATAGTTGAGTTTGACACAATGTGTCAGATTTATTTAATTATTAATTTTAAGCAATATTTATAATTCATATTTTTCATCGAATTAATGGATCGTTATGGGAAAGATGTGTGTATTTTCCATGTTAATTACTACGACGAATTGACAAACAAAAGGTGAAATTGGGCTTAATCGATTTGTTTGTGTCTGGACATAGTGTTATTGAAAATAATAGTTGAGTTTGACACAATGTGTCAGATTTATTTAATTATTAATTTTAAGCAATATTTATAATTCATATTTTTCATCGAATTAATGGATCGTTATGGGAAAGATGTGTGTATTTTATATGTTAATTACTACGACGAATTGACAAACAAAAGGTGATTTTGGGCTTAATCACACTGTTTGTGTCTGAAAATATTAATATAAATAGGCCGGTATCGAAAACATATTTGTACATTGTACAACGTACAAGATTTAGCAACAAACATATTAGTAAATTTATGCACAATATTCTGTCAGTTAAAATTCAAATTTCAAAGAAGACTTCAAAAATTCAAGTTAAAAAAGTTATATTTTATCTATTTTTTTCCAAAGTTATGTTTGTAAAAAATAATTCTAAATTTTTAGAACGATATTGAAATCATTATTCATTTATTTTGGCGCTCANGGAAATTTATGCACAATATTCTGTCAGTTAAAATTCAAATTTCAAAGAAGACTTCAAAAATTCAAGTTAAAGTAAGTTATATTTTATCTATTTTTTTCCAAAGTTATGTTTGTAAAAAATAATTCTAAATTTTTAGAACGATATTGAAATCATTATTCATTTATTTTGGCGCTCATTGTTTTTCAATCAACAATGCATCTCCCTTCAAGCACCAATGATGTGGAACACGTAGTAAAATATTTAAAATCGCAAAATATTTCACCTTTTTCGATATTGGCGGATATTATACACGCATCAAGAGATTTCACAATGTCTGAAGAAGGAGTTGCCTATGAAGATGTTGAAAAACCCAATGGCTCTGGATATGGCAAGAAGTGACGCCAGATTATTTAAATTGGAAATATTATCAGGTGTCTATAATTTATTATTCAAAGAGAAAAATATTTTAATTTTTAAATTTAATTTAATTACGTGTAACAATGATGAATATGATTATACAATTTGTTCAATGGGGGGCTGTATAAATGAAGTTGTAAATGACAATGATTTTTCTTTTATTAAACCGATCCGGGATAATATAACTTTAAACCAAAATTCTATGTATTACCTAATTGTAAATTTTCCGCGGATATTAAAATGCCGCTATTGCGATACGCAATTATTTAAATGGCATGTTTAAATAACTTTTATGTAAATAAATAAATCTATAGTTTTATATGTTTTTAAATTTTTTCATAGCCTCCTAATCTATACATTGATATAAAGAGTATTTACAATTGGTCATTAATCTCGTTATAAGTGTACACATACACACACATAATTGTATGTGGTTGGAGAGAGTGTGCGATTAGTGCGGTGTATAACCGTCAGCGTACATGGGTTCAATTCTCTCTCCGCAATATAAAAAATTGGCGTCCCTACAACATTAGGCGTCTCAAGATGAGCAGCCCACTACCATCATCATCATCATCATATAATCAATGGTTAATAGAACAGTGTTGTAAAGTGATCAATTTTTTTGTTTTGGAAACACGGTCACCCATCCAAGATGTTAAACAAACGACTACGCCCAACTTTATAAACGTTTAAATCATCCGTCGCTCTACACCGTGTTTCCAACAGTCTACGATCTTTTTTACGATATATATATAACGTTGGCATGTGAACGAATCACGTCGGGCGAAATACTCGCGCAATCATAGTGTGTGTGTGTTGGGTTTCATGGCGGGTGCCGTCCGCCAGATGGCAGCACATGTACAAAGTGTGAATTGGGTTTCAGGGTACGCGCCGTCCGCCAGATGGCAGCACATGTACAAAGTGTGAGTTGGGTTTCATTGGATTAGTGTACGTTGGGTTGCATCTGAATAGTGTACGTTGGGTTGCATCGGATTAGAATACAAGGGGTTTGCTCCATTCCCCTCCCCCCTTTCCACTACTAGGGCGGGAGGGGTATGTAAGGCAGAGGGGTATGGCTGCCATACATTATTATACTACTTACATGATCTGTTATTTCCTTATTTATATCCTGATTACGATAAAGTATGTCGAATGAAAGGGTATAAATATTATTTCTTATAAAGAAATTGTATTCATCCATACAATTTTTAATAAGTCATAGCATTATAAAGTTAAAAATGTAAAATATAAAATCAAAAATGTTCACACAAAAATACCATTTGGTAACTATTTCCACCGTAAAGATTAAATAAAGTCCGAATTTTTTTTTTCAAGATAAAGTATATTACATTAGCTTTAATTCAAGATATATATAAAAGTGTCAAACTTTCAAAAATTAATTTTTTGTAAAAAAGTTGTCATTTTAAATTCTTTTCAGTGGGCAGGTAAAGGGACAGATTTATAAAAAAAATATACCAAATAAAAAGTAAAGACATCATGTATCTATAAAAAAAAATTATATTGATTTGGTTATTTTTAAAAAAGTTATAGCAGTTTTATGTAAAATTTTTTTTAAAAATATCGAAATTTAGCGATTTTTAAATTTGTAATTTTTAGGAGATTTCCCTTATTTACTGGGAACAAGGGAATTTTTTTCACTTTTTGAGGGTAATATCTTCAACTAAATACGATTTGTATTTTTTTGACGTATCGTTGAAAGATATCGGCTCGGTGAGAGCTGTAAAAGGTGGTAACAGACACAAAAAAAAAAAAAAATAAATAAAAAACACGTCATAGTAAAACCAATATCATTGCATCGAAGTTAATAGTTATCTAAATTTTTTTTGTAATTCGAAGTCATTTTATATAGTTCTTCTAACTATAAATGTTTATTGTTCATAATTAATTAAAATTTAATTGTAAAATATTTTTTTCTATATGTTTTTATTGAGGTTATTAAAAACATATTTTTAATACAAACTTTTTAAAAACATTTCAAATATCCCATAAGACCAATGTTAATTTTTGCAATTTTTAACACGTTTAACACAATACTGTTAAAAAATTTAATTATTAAAGTCCATTAATCATTATATTCCATTATTATTTTTTACTATCAATATCAAATAATATATTTATTTTCAAATTTAAGCGATTATTTGGTAATAACGCTAATTTAAGTAAATAAAAATTGTAAAAACAAATTATTACATAAAAGTTCATGATAGTTTAAGATTCAAACAGCATATTGTCTACTTTAAATTTGAGTGCATTTAATGTTTCACTAGCTTCTATTAATGTCTTTTCTAAAACTTCAACATGCTTACTTAACCTAAAATACTCAAGTGAATCTTTGTTATGTATCAAAGTAATCCCTAAATAAAATTTGTTACCATACAATATTAGATTTTTCAATTATTTCACTGTTGTTACCTGTATAGACAATAACAAAATAAGTATCTATATATAATTTTTTTAGCTATAAATCTATCTTGATCGCTCACCGAATGAACGTTGATCTTTTGACATGTCAATATATAACTGTCTAGCTTCACTTTCGTGAATTTTTTTCGGTGATTCGATTTTGAACCTATCCAAAAAATGCTTCAATTCATTGTCAGTAAAATGAGATCTTAAACATAATGTAAATACATAAAATTATTTGTTTTAAAATCATTATTTTATATTTACCTTTTTAAAATTTGTACAACATCCAGATAACTTATGTAGTGTTTTAGTTCATTTTTAAATCTTTTTTGTTTTCGTTTTCTAATCCAATTTTTCAACTTACATTTTTCAAAGATATAGTCTATTTTTTCAATTACAATGTCCCATACGAAATACTTCCTATTCCCAATGATAACTTCGAAATCCAAATTATAATAAACGTGAAAAACCATAGCTACTAACATGTTCTTCAAATCCAGTTATTTTTTTTTATTATATGAAATTTTCAAAAATAATTAAATATTATAAAACTTATATAAGATTTGTCATTTATTATACAACAACAAAAAAATGTAGAAATACCCTAATTGATTATTCTTACACTTACTAAAAGAATAAATATTGCTACAAAAATAATCAACACAAAGAAACCCATTATCAGAGATTTATCTAAGCGTCTTAAATTTTGTAAATGAAAATCTTGCATTAGTATCTTTATTGTAGACATAAGGGAATCTTGAATAGTTGAAAATTCATTTACCTATAAATTTAAAGTCAATAGTTTAAATATTTAAAAAGCATGAATATTCAATACAATCACTTGCCTGATCACCAAATAAGCCATGACCGAGAATTACGAACGCACATACTATAATAAACACGATCACCAAAAATCCGAGCAGTGCTTTAAAACACTGAAATATAATGTGTTTATGTATAAAGATAGAGAAAGATTTTTATTCTACATTTGTTATTTTAATCCAAAAAAAATTACATGAAATAATACTTGTTAATAATACATGTTGATAATAATTAATAATTTTTTTTATGGTTATCAACCAGAAGGTTGGTCTGAAACTAACAAATTTAAACTGGTGTATAATTTTAAAAAAGCTGATTAATCAATAATTATAAATGTATTGATTCCCTATAAAATAATTTTTTTAAATATATATTTAATAATTCAATGGAAAATTATTAAAATAAAATATTTAAATTAAATATATTGTTTAAAGGTTGAAGTCATCATCATTTACAACTATCATGCTACGCATACATACAAAACCATAATTATAATGTACTTCTTATGTATTTTTACATGTTACCTTTTCTGTGCTCAAATATACGAAAGTCGTCGATTTAGTCAAATCAGTATATTTAATTATTTTGATGCAAGCCGTAAAAAACAAAAAGCGAATGAAGGACATTAAAGTCTGATGTTTACATGTTAAATTCTCAAAAAAACTATATCCTCCACCATTACTTGCAAACTTTTCAATTTTTGATTTTGTTTCATCTATTTCCATCATTCCAATCATGAAGAAACAACACCACCCTAGCTTTTAATTACGTGTGAATAGTTTTATGTTTAAGTAATAAAACCGGAAAAATTATTAAAAAAATACTTTACTATCACTATGCTGAGATCAACTAAATTCCAAAATATAAATATGTATTTAAGTTTAAAATACTTTAGTTCATAAAACTCTTCTAATGTATAGTAGAATAGAAATATTAAATTCAAAATTCCACATATAAATAAAAACCATGAATTGCCTATATGATTATTGATTTGAGCTGTACGTATCAAATAAGATGGCATGATGCCTCCTTCAGCTGGAAATTCCATCACTAGTCTGCAATTATGTTCAATTTGAATACATATAAGTTATTTTCTAGAAAAAATTAAATTGTAAACCCAAAAGTATAATTAAAAACCCAGCACAGGGGGGTCGCGGCATAGATGAATCAAGTATAATGATATCTGACAGTGATTAAAANAGAGTGGTGACGTGACATAGATGAATCAAGTATAATGATATCTGACAGTGATTAAAATCACTATAAAAAAAAACGCTTCGATGCAAATCTTTAGATAGTTTAATTTTAAAAAATTGGTGGATTATTTCAAAAGCTACATGATCTGCTAGTTCATTATTATTTTCACCGTGAAGATCAAATAAAGTCCGAAATTTTTTTTTTGCATAATAAAGTAAATTACATTAGCTTTAATTTAAGGTATATATAAAAGTGTCAGACTTTCCGGAACACTTTCAAAATTTAAGTTGAAAAAGTAAATTTTTTGTGAAAAAGTTGTCATTTTAAATCCCCCCTTGTGGGCAGGTAAAGGGTCAGATATGAAAAAACATATATACCAAATGATAGGTAATGATATCATGCATCTATAAAAAAAAGAATTATATTGATTCGGTTATTTTTAAAAAAGTTATAGCAATTTTAAGTAAAGAAAATTGAAAAAATGTCGAAAAATAGCGATTTTTAAATTTGTAATTTTTTTGGAGGTTTCCCCCATTTACGGGGAACGAGGGAATTTTTTTCAAATTTTGAGGGTAATGTCTTCGACTAGATACGATTTGTGATCTTTTGACGTATCATTGAAAGAAATCGGTTCGGTGAGAACTGAGAAAAAGTGGTAACGGACACAAAAAAAAAAAAAACACATCTTAGTAAAACTAATACCTTCTCAGCTTCGTATCGAAGCTAAAACAATACAATATTGACACGGTCACGGCATTGTCACCCATTTGACACGGTCACGGCATTGTCACCCATTTGACACTCCGCGGTCGCGTCAGCTCCTTCCCAGACACCGCTCCACTGTAAACCGGACCGTTACACACACGCGTTATCGTCGTGGTGTAAAGTCCAATAAATGCCTAGCGTCAAATACCCGCCGCAATAATACGTGTAGAGAGTTATCTTCGCGATACAACAGGATTCGTCGTCCGCTTACGAACTACCTACGTTTCTTTTTCGTGTACACCACAAGTTTTCACGTTCTCACAGTTTTAGAGGTTAACAGATATATTGTTCCATTGCTAACTTTTCTTTTTGTTTTGTTTTGTTATTAATATCATTAAATAAAAGGCTCGACGCCACCTACTATTATTAAAAATGTTAAAGCTTATTATATCCCACACACGCGAGTTTAATCACACCATTACAATATTTAAACCATCTCGTCGAAATTATCAACGAAGAGATACTTACGAGTCTTTATATTTTCGGTAATGAATATTTATAACATCCAAGATGTTTTACAATTAAGTGAATGTCAGAAAATATTAGGAAACAACAGTTAGACATATATGAATGTACGGTGTGCAGTAAGTAAGGAAACAGATCGGTTGTTACAAACTGTGAAACCATAGGAATATTTTTACTGAACACTCTATATAAGTATAGCCATATAAACAAATTGATTTGAAAAACCGACATTTGTGAAAATAGGTAATAAAGTGAATTTTTAGTATATGAAAAATAGTAAGTATCAGTAACGCAATCAGAGAATCCTCAGGTCCAAATTCCCTATGGACATAAAATCATAGTAGTATTTGTGGGAAAGTCATGAATCTTACTATTACTCTACAATGTAAGTCATTGTGGGTTTGGTTGGTTTAAAGGAAGTAAAAGAAAATCTATGATATTGATTAAAGCTGTAATATCTTTAATAGGCAAAATTGAAATGTATGAAAGTAAGTACAAGTGTGAATGCAGTATTATCTTATATAATAAATTCATAAAAAAACTAGTAATTAAAGCCAACTAAAACTTTGAAATTATGTCGTGAATTTTTGTTTACTCACACCCGAGTGTATACTACTGCGTTATTATCTTTTAACGTTTAGTGAATTTCCCTTGATTTTTCAAAAACTTAAATGATAATTTAACCCATTAGATAAAACTAATGAAAAATATAGTTATTACCTTTTATTACATAATAATTGGAAAGCAAATTATGAAAATGCAACTTATAAAATGCGGAACATAATTTCCTTTCAAATTTAGCACTTTATTTTATAATAAATTACATTTCGAATGTATCTTACTTAATCGAGCAGATAATTTTAGTATCTTTATTTAAAATAACAAAGTCGACAAAAACTGCTCTTGTTCCATCAGTTAGCCAATGATTATGTTGTAAATGTTTGATTAACTCTTTAGCTTGGTCTATGTTATCTGGAAAATCAAAATAAAATCCTCCACCGCCATAATTTGCAAATTTTCCATTGTATTTTGTTCCTTGAGTTATGCTTTCATTGTAATAAACCCAGCTGGAGAAAAGTATAAACTCAAACATTTTTATACTTGAAAGATTTAAAAATTATCAAATGACCTACTATGATTCATTTTTGAGGCCAAAATTAAGTTGATCTTCATAGTTTAGTTGATATTGGGCATAACATTTTCTGAGCGTATTTTTTAATAAACGTCTATTAGAACAGTGCCCTTCTTCTACTTTAACCTTTTTTTAAAGAATTATTAAAACTTAATTTATTAAAATACAAGTTTCCAAATTATATTGGTACCTGTCTCGATCTGGGTCTACAAAGTAATTCGTTTTCATAAACTGTGCTTGAAGTTTTATCGCTAATATTTACTCCATTATGTGTTCCATAAAAATGATGGCACAAAATATCATAATAAAACTATTATTTAAGAATAACATGGTATATTGTTATGCATTTTTATTATTTTATAGTGATTACCAAGGACGGCCCAAGTAAGAGACAGTTACATCAGTCACCGTGATTTCAAAATATATTTAATAATCAATACACCCACATATTGTTCCAATAGTAAAAAAAATAAAACCTACCAAATTTGGTCATTTAAATATTATAAAAAAATAACATAACTCTTTATAAATATAGGGTCACACTAGAAAATGTACCTCAAGTACATTTTCAATCAACAACATTCCATAGAAACAAAAATACATAAATAATCAGAGTAAAAGGGAAAATGAAGGGAGGGGTGGTGTCATGAGTGCCTCAAATCCACGAAACTCATTGAGGGAATACAAGAATATTGGTACAGGTGCACAGTGTACGGTCAGCTGATGACATTAGGATAACAGGTATCGGACCGATTAACTGGTGGAGGTTATCAAATATACAACTATCAAGAAATACTTTACACCTAATGCACACACCACTAATTGAAAAGATTTATTTAAAAAACTAGTATAAATTCTGCAACATTACAAAGATTTCAAACAGCATGGAATAGTATCTATACAAATAATTATAAATCGGGTATACTAGATAAAGGTTTCATGGAATTACTAAAGGATATTGTGTGACGATATACTAAATATTTGTAAAAGTATTTGTATTTTTATAGTTTCCTTTTACATTAAATTATGGTTTGATGCGAATTCAGTCATAAAAGCACCATTGCAAGATTTAAATTTTACTAAAAATCTTTTGAAATATATCTCAAATCACTATTAAAAAAATGTGTAATAATTTATGGTACTTAACACCTGAGAGTAGTGCATTTTCTTTTTTTGATGATACTATATCAATAGAAACTAAAAGAAAAATAGCTGAAGCTCTAAAAAACTGTGGACCTACAATTTATATCATATAAACGTTTAATTATTAATTCAAAAGGAGCTAATGTGTTAATAGATAAAGAATTCGAACAGTTCATTAGCATTGATTCATATCAACTGTTTAAATGATTTAATTTAAACACGACATTTCTAAAAGAAGATCCTATTAATTGGAAAAATAATGAAGATTATCAAAGTGCTTTAAAAATAGTAAAGAAGATTTCAGTAACAAACGATACAGCTGAAAGAGCCGTAAAACTTATGGAAGATTTCAACAAGAAAATTACCCATAATGAACTACAGAAACAATATTTATTACAAGTCGTATATGAATACCGAAAACAATATTCTGACCATAAAAGGAACTTTAAATGCCAATACTTAAAAATAAATTTATATGGTGGTTCATAGGATATTTTTCGTTTTTAATATGAGTTTAAGACATAATTTTTAAATAATTAATATTTTGTTTACATATATCGTTTTTTGTTTGTGTATTATAAAATTGTTTTAAACTAAATGTTTTTTACACGAAAAAAAAATAATTAAGTAACTTTTATATAAAAATATAAACATTGCTTTTATTTAATTTTAATTAAAACTATACGTTTCAGGAAATTTAATATTTTTTTTATTAAATTCAATTCGCCACAAAAAGTATTAAAGTTACGAAAAAAAGTATAAGAATTTAAATTTACCAAATTTAATTACAACTTACTTTTCTATGAAACATTTTATTATGTGACGAACAGTTGGTGAAATATTTTTAAACTTAAAAAAATAAAAAACGGTAGCACAGTGAGGTCGCGGCATAGTGAAGACATTGCATAGTAGGGTCCAGTATAGATTTAATCTGACAGTGATTAAAATCACTATCATAAGAAACGCTTCGATGCAAATCTGTAGATAGTGTTTAATTTTAAAAAATTGATGGATAATTGCAAAAGCAACATCAACTTCTATTAAAATAAAATACAAAACCCATAATTATCATACAAAAATAGTATATTTTTCAATATGGTAGCCATTTGCGTATAGAAGATAGATCGTCGGGACAAATTTTTTTTTTTCATTTTGTAGTACATAAAATAAGCTTTAATTTTATATATGTTTAAAGGACGCAGTATTTCCGGAACATTTTCAAAAATTAAGTTGAAAAAGTTATTTTTTATAAAAAAGTTACTATTTTAAATCCTCCCAGTGAGCAGGTTAAGTGATAGATTTTCAAAAAAAATTATATCAAATGAAAGGTAAATATCTAAGGTTTTAGTATAAAAAAAAATGATGTTGATTTGTTGATTTTTCAAAAAGTTATGGAAGTTTTAAGAAAAAAAAGTGAAAAAATTTCGAAAATTAGCGATTTTTAAATTTGTAATTTTTTTGCATATATCCCCCATTTGGGGGGAACGAGGAAATTTTTTTCAATTTTTAAGGGTAATGTCTTCAACTAGATACGATTTGTGATCTTTTGACGTATTTTTGAAAGAAATCGGTTCGGTGAGAACTGAGAAAAAGTGGTAACGGACACAAAAAAAAAAAAAAAACATCATAGTAAAATTAATTCCTTCTCCGCTTCGCATCGAAGCTAAAATTTTTCAGTAAAAAATAAAAAGATAATTTTTTTAATTTTTACGGAAAGTATTGACTTTTTGATAAAAAACATAAATGTGTTTTTTATAGTAAATATTTAGGTTTACAAATTAAGTTCTATTAACTTTTATTGTAAGTTTAATAGATTTTGAGTTAAATTCAAAAAACAACCCCTCAGGCTCGATTTTCAACCCCTTGTGGCACGTGTTAAAATTGATTTATCATGACCCAATTTGACTCTGCCTGAATCTATCAAGTGGTCTTACACTTTCTGGAGCACCGCACAGTATTTTGTATATAAGGGAACTTTCCTTTTGTCACGCATAGCCAGACTAATAGAGCCACCTCATTCTTGTATCGTCAACTATGATTGGTTAGCTCCGTAATCCATAATTATGTCTGATTTTTCACTCTATTATTTTACAATATCACAATGACCAAAAATTGACCCCAGAATTTTTCTTTTAAATTTTAAATTTTAAAAGTTAATTGTGTTTTATCTAATCACCGATTAATCCGATTAAGTGATTTATATATATTATTACCTGATTGCGTCTTGCTTTTATTTCCTACCACATTTCACTATTCTAATTTAAAATTACATCTGAATTCCGTACTCGTTTAAATTTATATACCTTCGCTTTCAGCTGAGTATTTACATCTTCCGTTAAACCACTCTGTAAGCAGTCATATATTCAATTTTTTTCACGTTTATTTCTAATCAAACTCTTTTTGCTGCCTCATGTAATTCTTGCGTTTGTTTACAATTCTTTATTTATCACCAATAACATTAAATAATCCCCCTACGCTAGTAATCCAATGTTATGAATTATTGCACAAATCATACTGATCCAGCACATTGCTGATCACTCAACATTGTGCATATTCGGGTCAAATATTATTAATAATATTCAGTCGTAGTACATCAGACGTAAGACTAACTTAAAGAATCTGTGATAGCGGAATCAACCACGGTTACTAAATCAAATTTTGTCTCAAACACTTGCATTACTCTATGTTTAATACTAGTGCATTGCATCACTTTTTCCGGTGCTAAATTGAATAAAATCGGTGGTAATTCATTCCTTTGCCTAGTAATAGCCCAGTAATGGTTTAATTCTGACGAAAATACAGTTTGATAATATTTTATACGTACCATTGAGTTGGGCTATACCTATATAATTATTGTAAATTTGTCCTTCTAGTAAATAAAACATCCGTATGCAAATAATATATAAAAGTTAGTTGATATTTCGTGTTCTTTAATAATTCTTTAGTAAATCTATCTTTACCAAGAGTTTTGTGTTTGAGTTTGTGGTTAATGTAAATAAGGTATTTAAATACCTTGTTTACATTAATATTTTGTTTCATTAATCCTCTAATATAAATGGATCTTCAGACACTAGACAACTTAAGAACTCATTCACACGTTGATGGACAGTCACTACTATAACAATCATTGTGTTTTAAGTCGTAATTTGACTATAACTGCTATAACAGTAATATATTTAGAAGTCGTAAAATGACATAACTCTTATAGTAGTCATGTTCGTAATATCTTTATCGTATTAAGTCAGATCAAATGTCCATTTACGACTTGCACACTTGTCAGGCAAAGTATTGGATGTATACTAAAAATAGATTATTGAAAAATAATATGGTTTTTTTTTGTATTTCTTTATTATTCATAATACAATCTTATCTGTAGAAAATGACAATTAATCATCAACCACAACGTCATATTTAAACTATAATACTAGTAATGTGTATTTTATTATACATACTTATACAAATCGTATTAGTATGTCTTCAGATTTAGTCGTGATATGACATATTTGTTTTGTACTATATTATTCTTATTTTTCTCTCATTATGAATAAACGAAGCAATAATAGTGATGAAGATATTCGTCAGATTTTAGACGAATCAAACGGCGCTTATTCTGATTTATCTGGATCAGGTATTATCATTATNCGGCGCTTATTCTGATTTATCTGGATCAGGTATTATCATTATTATTATTATTAATATTATTCTGATCCAGGTAATTATAAAAATAAAGTATAAAAATTCAAATACATACAAACGATAGATTACCATCTTTTTCTTAAAAAATTATTAGCTTCGATGCGAAGCTGAGAAGGTATTAATTTTACTATGATGTGTTTTTTTTTTTATTTTTATTTTTTTTTTTTTGTG